CAAAGAACCTAAATTGACAAAGGGAAAGGACCTTGTTTATCAATATTTACTTCTGAAAAAAAATAGTATCAATATTTACTTCTGAAAAAAAAATAGTCTATCGATATCTGCAAATAGATGAATCAAAGTTATTCCAAAAGCAAATCAGCATGCTGGTAAAAGGATATGCACGTACACATTGACATACCTCCATTATCAGTAATTTCTCGCGGCAAGCTTGAAATGAAAAGTAGAAGTGTTTCAATTGGAATATCAAGAGGAATCATCACAGAAGCAGCAGCAGCTAGAATGTTCTCACAAACTGGATGAAACAAGATGGATTACCATGATTGTGAATTAAAATACTGATGATGAAATTTTCAGCACTACCAACAATCTATTTATGGACCTTGGTGCCGATAAGATGGATTGAAATGTTGTTTAGTGCTTTCAATAATATATCGGAAACTGTCGAGCAAGTCTGCTTTATCACTCATGTAAGACTCCTCCTGTGCATATTTATCTTGCAAAATGACTGGTGATATATCACCGCATTGTCCAATACCATAAGCTGCTGAAGAAATGCACTTTGTAAGGCACATTAATCCAGCTCGTCCAAAAGATTGCCTCTTAGCAATGGAAGCCAAACTATTCAGAAAAGCAACCCGATTCCTGTCACCAAATGAAACTTCAAACTATTAAATTGGTTTTACAAAACCAGTTCAATGATGGCTCTCCTAAAAAAATCATGTTGAAGTCTTGCTTGGTACTGAAGATTTAGAGGAGGTGCAATTCGCCAATGATATTAAAAAAATATGACCTTTGAATATCCAAGAAAGTCATTTTGGATATAGTGAAGACTCAAAAACAAAAAAAATTAAAATAACTAAGATGCTTAATACAGAGATGAAAAGCATGGCAGAGTAATAATGGAGACACCAGTATCAGTACGTATAATTTCATGTTTCAAAAGTGCTCCTTCAAGAGACCATCCATTTTCAAAATATTTTTTTTAATACCGAGAAATCCTCAAGGGCCAGATGGAGCATCATCCGAGACACGTGGATATTGGCGCAGCTCTATCCTTCTCGTGAGCCATGATGTGCACTTAGCTCTCACATCATGCGCTGCACTTTGACCACTCAGCCAAAACCTTGGGGGCTTCCAGTCAGATAAATCTTCATAACATTAACCTCGGCCTAAATAGCCAACTAAGATTTAATTGAATTCCTTACTCGCCGTAAGATGAAGGAGAGGATTCCACCAGCTATCTCAGTGTGAGAAAGCACGGGAGAAAAATATATGATTGATATTCTACTCAATTATAATACAATGAGCCCTATTTATACAATACATATCCTACTCCAATTCTATGTGGGACTACGACTAATTCACATTATTTACATAACTATCTAACCCTCCCCCTCAAGCCGGTGCATACAAATTATATGTACCGAGCTTGTTACATATGTAACTAATACGAGGACCAGTAAAGGACTAGGTGAAAATATCTGCAAGATGATCATTCGACTTCACAAACTTTGTAGTAATATCTCTTGAGTGTATCTTTTCTCTGACGAAGTGATAGTCAATCTCAATGTGTTTAGTTCTCTTAAGCTCTTAAGTGCATATTTTTGGAGGTCAGGTGAATAGCATCGATTCTCGAGTAACCCAAAAAATATGCACTTAAGAGCACAAGGAACTAACTTATCTTTTCCTGGAGTAAGGTTATGAACAAAACACGTGATCCCAAAGATACGGGGAGGAAGAGAGAACAAAGGTGAGTGGGGAAACAAGATGTGAGAACTGCATCCCCAAAAAATGCAACGGAAGATAAGATTGTATGAGTAGGGTACGAGCAGTTTCAACGAGATGTTTATTCTTTCTTTCAACTACCCTATTTTGTTGAGATGTGTACGGACAAGATGTTTGATGAATGATTCCATGAGAGTTCATAAACTGTTGAAATTGGAAAGACAAATACTCTAGGGCATTATCACTACGAAATGTTTTGGATAGAAACCCCAAATTGATTTTGAATTTCAGCGTAGAAGGTCTGGAAAATAGAAAAACAACTCAACTCAGATCGATTTTTCATCAAAAATATCCCAAGTGCACCCGGAAAAATCATCAAAGAAACTGACAAAGTAGTAGAATCCCAAGGTAGAACTGACCCGACTAGGACCCCAAAAATCTGAATGACTAAAGTAAAAGGTGACTCTGTTCGATTATCAGGACGCCGCGGGAAGTAGGAGCGAGTTGCTTACCGAGCTAACATGACTCATACTCTAGAGTGGACAAGTGAGATAATCCAAGTACTATTTTATGAAGTTTTGACAAACTGAGATATGCCAAGTCCCAACCGTTTATGTAATAAATCTGGTGAATCAGTAACAGGACAAGTTGTTGAATAAAGACAAAATGTGAGTCCATGTGATTTATCAAGGATAAGGTAATAACGTCCATTTGATTCATGTCTGGTACCAATGATCCGCCCCGTACTGTGTTTCTGTAAAAAAAAACAAGATCGTCAAGAAATAAAACAGAGCATTAAAGTGAATTTGGCTAAACGACCAACGGCTATGAGATTAAAAGGACTACAGGGAACATAAAGAATTGAATCTAAAGGTAAGGAAGGACTTGCTTGACATGTTCCAGTTGCAATGGTTTGAGACCTGCTGGCCATTGTGACTGTTGGAAGAGATTGAGAATATGAAATAGTAGTGAAAAGAGATTTGTTACCAAAAATGTGATTAGATGCACCTGAATCAATAACCCAAGAATCGGAGGATGAAGATTAGGAGACACAAGTCACACTATTACCTGTTTGAACAACGGAAGCTATCTCTGAAGATGTATGTTTACATGTTTTATACTTAAGGAACTTAATAAAATCCGATAGAGAAACCATCCACTATTCATAGTATTGGATCCCATTTCGCTACAACCAATTTCTCAAATTCTTGACTAAAACTTGTATGGTTAACCTTAGAATGCCAAATCAGAACAAGTTAAGCTGGAGACTTTTTTTTCCTTAGTTAGATGGAGTTCAAAGGGAAACCAAGTTCTTCACTTGAAATAGTGAAAAACTAAAGAAATATCTGGGAATACGCTATTCACAACAGGGGAAAAAATTTCACGTTGGAATCACCGTTCACGCCGGAAAAGAATAAAGTTGTCAGAATTTGATGTAATCTATATGGGTAGGCTCATAATCACAGGACGACCAAACAGTCCTAAAGAAACTTTGTCAAAAACTGGCCAGAAAACACCTCACACGCAGGCGCGTGAGTCGGAGTCTCGCCGGAAAATATTCTGCCGGCGGCGCGTAAGGGTGCGTGGGAGGGGCTCTGCCGAAGAAATTTGTACGGGTTGGTCGCCGGAAGCTGATCTACCTCATGGTGGTGTTGATTTTTGCACAACACCGATGGATATGAATGAGCTTTCTTGTGGACAGACCTGCGGTCACCGAAAATTTTTCCGGTTTTCTTATTTGTTCTTCCCGGAATCGTTGGTATTTTTGCACAGCGAAGGATCTCTCACAGTTGCTCTGATACCATGTGAGAAAGCACGGGAGAAAAATATATTATTGATATTCTATTCAATTATAATACAATGAGCCTTATTAATACAATACATATCCTACTCCTATTCTATGGGGAACTACGACTAATTCACATTTTTTAAATAACTATCTATCACTCAGGAAATAACTGATCCTCCAACTTCCATATTTGCTTGGCAGGAAATACCTGATCCTCGACAGTTGTTTACAAGCTAGATTACGCTTCCAAGCTATACTGCAAAAGCAATAAGTCTCTCTCTCCTCACAAATAACTTTCTTCCAAAGTTTGCTAAATATTCTCCATGAGAAACAGGACAAAATCGTGTAGATTAGGACTAACTTTTTGTTTTTGTTTAACTTCTGGAGCACCCACGACATTCCTTATTAAGTATATATATGGGTTACTGTGGCTGTTTTAGCATTTGCCATCAAAAACAGATGAGGAAATTCATCCTTTAGAGTAATATCACCACGCCAAACTTCAAACAAAACCTGAAAACAGTTCCTTTTTCCTACTGAGTAACCAACAGATATTTATTTTTTTTGGATCAGGAAAATGAAAGGGAATTGAACCCTACATGAACTGAGTAGCCTACAGATTTTGTGAACTGACTGAACTCTTTTCCCCCCTTTATAGTCTCTTTCATAAGTAATCCCATATGTTTGGATCACTTCGTCTAGACACCATGCAAGGTGACTATTCCTATACTTCACTTAATCACTTCCTTGCACAAAGTGTTCTCCTCATCTGCAAACTTCCATTACTATTTTAGAGAGTTTAGTTTAAAATAATTAGCTTCCATACACAATCCGTTTTTTAATCAGACTGCGACTCTCTTCCAACTCATAAACAGGTCTATCACCCCTACTTCCATCCAATAAAAATTATAAAATTCTAATCCTAATAGTTGAAGTAAGAACTTATCAATATGTGATAGCATACCTTTCATCTAGATAACTACTGTACTGGGAAAAAAATTGGGCAGCAGCTTCAATTGTCCAGGTAGAGTAAACTCCTCTTACACCTATGTAACATATGCACAAACAAAAGAATCAGTACAGTCATGATACATGTATTCCAGCAGTATGTCTGAACGGCTATAGAATGTTACTAAATCTTTTTTTTAAATAACGAAATGTATTAATCGTCCAAGCACAAAGAAAGTGCTAGAGATACAAAAGACACATAGGATTTTTCTCCTTTCTCAAGGAGCTCAGGAAGTCCATCACTGTATCAAAAATGAATTACAACTTTCAAATTACATCAATGGCTCTGTTGATCTTGCATTATTCTTCTCCACCAGAATGTAATATTTTTAGTCATCCATCCGCCTACCAAGACCCCATATTTTTCTGCGATCACCCCCCTGCCTTATGTTTTATTTTGGGACATCCAGAAAGGACAGTTTGAGTTCCATTTTTTTTCTTTTGAGATGGTAACATTTCAGTTCCAGTTTTCCAGGAAAGAAAGGAGTAGCCTGACTCAAATTTTCTCCCTCATGCATCAACACCGAGGCTCTGCCCTTCTCAGAAACCTTTGTGTAATCCATAGTCCTCCATTCTAAAGCTTTTGATATGCCAGTTTCATAATACTAAAGCTTTAGCCCTAAAGTATCAAGAAATTCCAAAATCAGGCAACCCAAATCCAATTACAAGGTAGCAGAGGTCATTCGTTCTCCATTTGCTTCCACATCGCACCACCCACATCAGTCGCTTGTAAAACGCCACTTGAGCAACAAAGGACAAAATAAACCACAAAGACATACATGTCCTATAAGTGATCTAGAGATAAACATACCAAAATCTTTGTTGTGCACAGGATCATTCAGTCCTTCTACAAGTGAACCAGTAACGAAATTTTGTGGAACCAACTTTGCGCAGTGATTGTATTTTGTCCACTCTGTACACAGAAATGACCGCATGACCAAGCACCGAACTACAATGGGAAAAAGAAAAGGAATGAAAAAAAGTAGCAGAATGTTAAAAAAAGAATTTAAAAAGGTAGCAGGATGCTAATGTGGTAAATCATTAAAACAATCAATCAGATAAGTGTTCTCTACCATAATATATATCAGTCTACTATTTTTTTCCCTCTACCTTGAGGATTATCATGACAAAAACCACGTTCCCACAGTACAGCTAACCACTCAAAAATTTCTTCTAAACTGTCCATCCAAGTTCGGCACGCATTTCCATTGATAGTTTTTACTGAATTCTCTGGAGACAAAGAGGAATGAAGCAACAAGGTCATCTGCAGGGAAAATTAGTTATACAGTAGTGTTTGTTAGTATGTGATAGTGATGATACATCCCATATTACTGGAATCGATAAACTTCAGTAGCAAATCAAATCACACATAAAAGGAAACCTATACGGAAAAAGAATAAAATCAAAAGGGAAAAAGATCAGGAAGAGAAGCGCACCATAAGATAGCACACTGACCTATAATCAATTTCTTAAATCACAAACTTTTTACTTTCTTGGTTTGAGCTTTTAGAATCTCAACACTCTAGTCAAGCAAAATACCTAAAAATTAATACATTTATTTCTAATCAATAAATTAATAAATCATCCTAATATGAGGGTTCAGCGGAATTCCTTCATCACCTTAACATATACAAGGGAATGTTGCTAATGCTAACTGCTTTTTTTATTACCAAAAGACGTTTCACAGCTATGCAAAGAGAATGTGAAAGTATTTGTCATCATGTGATCAAACCTGGTGACTCCATGCTGCTTCGACCAAGTGAGTGCCATACTCTTCGAGCATTTCATAAAGAAGAAAGAATGCCTCCCATTTCTGGTAGCAACTGGAAAGGAAATCACTTTTGTTGCTAATTATTCCAACTCCCAGGGACTTAGCTTCCTCCTCAGCCCACCTTTCCCTTTTAGTCATACCACGATAGACTAAACTTCTCTCGTCTATGGTCTTAACAGTGGTTTGATACTGGTTTTTCTCGTCTAAATTTATGGTTCTCTTCAGTATATATAAAGATTGCTTCCTCACTGAGCTCTCTTTATCAACCTAAGAAGATTACAGATATTAGATAATAAAAAACAAGTTACTCGTAGGCTTGTCGCAAGAGCTATTATCAAACAATGGAAACACATTATAGTAGATAAACAACATACCAAGCCTTTTTTCATTTCATCCCAGAATTGTTTCTCTGATCTCAAATCAAACACTTCTGCCGTGCTACTCATATAAATATACTGGCATTCATCAGTATAAGTAAAGAAAGACAGGTACAGAGAAAGTATAGAATATGCATCTCTTCTCTCCAGGGGCCCCAAAGAAAACATTGTCTTGCAACTCTTCCATAGTTTCTCTAAAATACTTCTCCTAAAAGAGCAATAATCTAGTGGCATAAGTCCAGAATTCAGACACTTTATACATGTATAAGTAATCATCATTTCATGTCCAATTAAAAAGCAAGAGAATTTTACCGAGAAAGTACATAGTTCTGTCCATTAATTGAGACTTCAAAAGCAGAATGAGAATCAAGTGCTCTGAATATGGAGGGCAGCAAAAAGGTAATTGCAGAAGACCGATGCTCCAAGCTTTGTGAAAGCATTTGAATTGTAATATTGCAAAGATCCCAGAGCAACTTTGCAGAAAATATATCAGTGCAGCATCCGTCTACGGAGTCCAATCCAGATACTGATCTCACTGTATGTAAACTTTGCTGAGCAGCATCTAGTATCAAGGTTAAAATATGACAAGAAATAGGCAGCGGCAAATAGTTAGGATTGCATTGCACAAGATTGTCATATATCTCGTTGTCTCTTAACTGCGAACATAAATTTAGTGTGCACTGTGGCTCCAAATGCCAGTCTTCTGAATAATTAGAAGTCAGGCACCATTTATAAGCATCTAACTCTTCACTTTGAATCTCAGTCATAGATAGTCTGACCAATCTTAACAAAAATGGGATAATGGTTACTTCAACAACCCCCCAACTGTTTGTGTCAGAGACAACACTGAAAGTCATGCCTGCAACCTAAATCCGTCGTCAAGTTCAGTCAGAGAAAATCAGAAACAAAATTTTGGCCAAAAACAAAATCACATCATCTATAATCTGAAGTCTATAAAATTTTATATATATCCTTATTCAACAGAAATGAATATTTTTACCTTGTTAAATAATTCACGATCAATGGAATGAACCAGCTTCATTAGGGGAAGAAATATTTTCCAAATCAATAACTGCATATATCTAGTCTCAGCTCCTGCAGAAAAGGTATAAAAGGTATCAAGCCAGTAAAAAGTTTGAGGCCAAATGAAAAGATTTGAAGCCTATAACTAGAATTCAACAAACTCTCTCTGGCTGACAAACTAATATTTCCAAGCCTCACAGACCACAATGGTTAAAATATTTGGAGGAATGAATATGATCCTTAAGATAGGCAAGCGACATAATGATGCGACATAAATACACAACCAGGAGCAATTCTAAAATTTCTGTATGACAAGCCACAGAGAAACTTTAAAATAATTTTATTTTAATATGCATTATATTTTGTATGTCAGTAATATAAATGCAGCAGTATTTAAAGCGGTGAACTGATGACCACTCAGACAAGGTGATATACCAAGCTGACTGCTTGTCCCACTACTATCTAGCACTTGAAGTTCGACAATTGTAATCTTCTTGAGCTTGGGCCAAACCCATTAACTATTTCCTATATTCGAATGGATTGAGTTGAAGAAGTCAAAATAAAGTCTGACATGGAAAATGTGAAAAAATGTACCTATCTTATTTAATGTAAAGAACCAAAAATTTATGCAAAAGATATTCATTCATTTTAATCGGGAAAAGGAAAAATGAAATGAAATGTCAAGGTAGCTATTCATTATAATTTCCCACATTACCCCTTTCTTTCTTTTCTTTTATAAGTACCTTCCATTTTTTTTCCCCTTATCTTCAGTCTTACATTGAAAGAAATTTTTGTTTCAAGCTTTCAGTAAAAAATAGTCATGATTCAACTCTTGGTTCAAAGAAAGCGTCATGGACTCACGGGAATAAGCAACCTCAATTTAAAGTAGATGGTCCCGTTGCTTGGAAACAAGGAACAATATCATCCATTCAGTATGCAACACAGTGTAATAAATCTCTTAACGGGAAATCAGAAATAAATTAACCATTCTCAAGTCATTTTATCTTACACAGTCACATGGTAAAAGATAACTTCTGGTGGTTGATACAATATCTGAATCATTAACGACTATTGAAGATGAGTGGGACCATTGAGAAAGTTTAAGAACTTGGCTTGTTAGAAATGAGGATCTACTAAGTAGTGTTTGGTTTTTATTGGAAGATTTTAATTTCCTTGAAAAGTTAAAAATTTTAATGGTAATAACTAGGACTTAAAAACTCACAAGCCACTAAAATATTTTGAACCATGACTACGTGTATCCTTTTCTATGCTCAAAGCAAAGGATGTTTTCTAATTTTGAGAACACAAAAGAATGCCTCAGTGACAATCAACTATACGAGGGGAAACCTAGAAGGATATCAGTCTGTCTCAGTCCTAATTGAGACTCTTGATGCAAACCAAGCAGTGTTGACAGCCTAATATAACACACTTGCAAAAACAAGAATCCAGGAATAAAAGATTTTTAGCTGCACATACTTCGGCCGTTAAAGCACAGTCCTGACTAAGTCTCATTCCCAATAAATCCAAAGCTACCATATTCCTATTACCTTAAAAATAAAGGATATTGCGCTAAATAAATTAGCTCTACTGAACTCAGGTGCAGATAGAAACTTCATAATAAAAGGAATAATACCAACCAAGTATTTAGAGAAAAGTACTACAAAACTATATTCTGCCACAGGAGAAAAATTAAAGATAGATTATAAATTATCAAAAGCGCACATGTATAATGATGGAATCTGCTTTATAAACGATTTTGTGGTAACCAGGGATATAAATGAAGAAATTATCTTTGGAATACCATTTATAACCCAAATTAAACCATATCATGATAACTTAACTGCAATTTGTACCACAATATTAGTAAAGGAAATAAAATTCCCTTATCTAAATTCTATCTCCAAAGAAGAAAGTGACTTCCTCAAATCAAAAACTATTTTTAAAATAAATTTACTTTCAAATCAAATAAATTATTTAAAAACGATATAAAAGTTCACAAAATTGAACAAACTTTAAAAACCCCGGGAATGGAAGGAAAGATTAAACATTTCCAACAGAAACTCGAACTTGAAGTTTGTTCAGAATTACCCAATGCCTTCTAGGAAAGGAAAAGACATGTAGTTGAACTACCCTATATTAATGAATTCACAGAACATGCCATACCCACAAAGGCAAGACCTATTCAAATGAATCATGATTTAATGGAAACGTCCAAAAAAGAAATTAATGATCTCCTTAAAAAGAAGATCATAAGACCTTCAAAATCACCTTGGAGTTGTGCAGCCTTTTATGTTAACAAAAGTGTAGAAAAGGAAAGAGGAGCCCCCAGACTAGTCATTAATTATAAACCATTAAACAAGGTCTTACAATGGATTAGATACCTCATACCTAATAAAAGAGATTTATTAAAAAGAACTTATAAGGCTAATATATACAGCAAATTTGATAAGAAGTCAGAATTTTGGCAAATACAAATTAGCGAAAAAGATAAATATAAAACTGCTTTCAACGTCCCCTTTGGACAATATGAATGGAATGTTATGCCTTTCGGGTGAAAAAATGTCCCATCAGAATTTCAAAATATAATGAACAATATATTTAACCCATACAGTAATGTCAATAGTTTATATTGATGATGTTTTAATATTCTCAGAAGACATAGATGCTCACTTTAAACATCTTAATACTTTCTTTAAGATTGTAAAACATAATGGTTTAGTAGTAAGTGCTAAAAAGATTAAGTTGTTCCAAACAACTATTAGATTCTTAGGTCATGACCTATACCAAGGCACTTATAAACCAATCTGTAGAGCCATTGAGTTTTCATCCAAATTTCCTGATGATATCACAGATAAACCGAATTACAAAGATTCTCAGGAAGTCTTAATTATGTAGCAGACTTCATTCCTGATATTAGGAAAATTTGTGAACCATTATACAAGCGTCTCAGAAAGAATCCAATTCCATGGAGTGAAGAACAAACTGATACTGTCAAAAGAGTCAAGTCCATTGTTCAAAAACTTTCGTGCCTAGGTATTCCTAATCCTAAGGCATTTATGATAGTCGAGACCGACGCTTCTGATGAAGGGTACAGTGGTATTCTTAAACAACGAGTCTCTTCAAAGTCTCCGGAACAATAAGTTCGTTTCACTTCCGGAATTTAGAATTCGGCTCAGAAAAATTATAGTACAGTCAAAAAAGAAATTTTGTCTATAGTACTATATATTACAAAGTTTTAAGATGATTTAATAAATAAATAATTCTTGTTAAGAGTTGATTGTAAATCAACTAAAGAGATTTTACAAAAAGATGTTAAAAACCTCATTTCAAAACAGATTTTTGCCAGATGGCAAACATTATTATTTAGTTTTGATTTTCAAATTGATTTTATTAAAGGTGAAGAAAACTCTTTACCCGATTTTCTAACCAGAGAATTCCTACAGGGAAAGAATGAGACCAAATCAGACGGGTCCCTTTAGGGCTTCACCTAATAGGAATCAAGGAAATAGATATTCTGTACTCGCAGGTAAACTTCTAACCAGTTCAGACTGTGAAATGAAGACCCCAAAGTCCTTTGCACAAGCAGTAAACCCAAACACTCCCTCCAACGGGGAAGGTAAAAAACCCATCTCTCAAGAAAAGGAAAGTTTTGAACTTATACCCAAATCGCCGATCAGAATTTTGGCATTAGACAAAGATTACGAAAATCTCGAAATAGGAGATTTGGTTAAGCCTTGTTATACCAACAGAAATTACGTAGAATCCAGTAACCCTCTCAAGACAAGGAGGTATTACGAATTTATCCTGATAGATACATGATCAATCTCTATAGAACATAAGTTAAAGGATAATACGGACCCTAACAGTATTAAATACTCAAGGTTCACCATTAACAAGATTATTAGCCCATTTGAATGGGGTATGGATCATTTGTACACCCCAATTATGCTATTTAAGCAACATAGGTCTCAAACCTATAATTTCTTTGATTACACAGAAGCATGGTATAATATTTTATACCTACGCCCAAATACCCACACCTGGTTCGTGAAATACAGCGAACAAATGATGAAATCAGTCATACCAAGATGGTTTTATGACTGATGGAAGAAATTTGGAGGAACCGAGCAAACAATGCCCAGTAGCTTCCAAGTACACTATGAAAGATTCCAAAAGGAGCATGAAATTTCCACGCTACCTGATCACATTAAGTTATGCAAATATTACTTTGCAAAACGGATTTCTTACATAATCAGCTGGTTCTTCGCCATTGAAGAAATTAACCGAATTAAATATTTGGTTAAAATTCCAAAAATCAAAGGATGGGTGCCTGAAGTAAAAGCAACCCAGTCTAAGTCCAAAGCAGCAAGCAAAGCGGGATCATCCAGTTCCCAAATATAATTAAAAAGGAGACTCCTAGAAGTCTTGGAAAATATTGATACAGTAGGTCCAACGGAAGTACAAGGTATGCTAGAAGCAGCATCAACATCCTCCTCAGCAGAGAACAATGGAGACATGGAAGACCCGCAAGGTATTGCACAAGTCTACCGTGTCTATGCAGAAGAAGAATAGCATCTGAAGACAGATGACTCATCCGACAAAAACAAAATAGCTTTTTCAAAAGGCAAACTGACTCTTCAAAAAAGAAAGAGTCACTTGACAACCACAACCACAACCACATAAGGACAATTTCAGCAAAACAAAAGACGACTCTTCAGCAAAAGCAGAAGACATCAAGTTAGGATCGTTCATTTGTAAGATTGAGATTAACTCAACAATTTTCAGAAGTCTATAAAAAGACTTTCAAATTGTAATCAAAGGGCATCCGAAAATTTTCCAAGATTTTCTCCGTATCATTTCTCTCCCCCATCTCTGTAAATATTCTCTTATGTTTGAATAAAGCTTTTAGCAAGTAAGTGTTTCTGTCTTACTATTTTAATTCCGCATTTATTTTATGATAAAACCTATGATTCTCTTTATGGTATCAGAGCCATGTTACTAAGCATGAGAGGCTAAACCTTTCATACTGTCTTTAGGGTTTGTCGAAATCTTGTTATCATATTCATGTTATA